GCTGGGCTGTGGTTATCTGTCCCTCACGGTTAATGAGAACAACTCCTCCTGTAATTATTCCTAAAGCAAGCTGCTGAATAGTGAGCTCTGACCTTCATGTTTTAGAGCACTGCAGGATCAGCTTGCTTTGCTTTCCTTGTCTAAGCTAATTTCTCTGATGCAGAGAGATGCTTGCTCTTCTTGCCCCATTAGATGCTGTTCGGTGCGTCACTGGTTGCTGAGCGCACAGACTAATGGTCATTGTTGAAGCATTTCCTCAATGGCCTAATTAAGGAGGAAGAGTTCCTTTGACTAGACAGAAATCATTCATAAAGCCTGAGCCACTGTTGTGATGAAAATTTCCCCGTAACATCCGTGAGAGGGAGAGTAATGACGGTTTCGGGAGCAGAGCAGCTCTCCTTGACTGAGCCCAGCTGAGCTCTCCTGCCCCATATGCTCACACGTGCTGGCCGGGAGCCTTTCCCTCTCCCCCTCAAACTTTGCCCAATTCAAACATAGATAGAAATTTGAAAAACAGTATTATTTGATTCAGAAAAATCTATTGTAAAAAATGTTTCTTGTCTGGCTCTTCTGCTTTCTCCTTAATTTCTTACTCTGACAGTCACCTGGATAAAAGGAGGTGGAGGAGGCAGTAGATATTCTACATCTTGACTTCTGATGCCAAGCAGCATGGCATGCTTACCGCAAACAGGGGAAATATGGCACAGACAAACAGCTGCATTTGGAGAGCCGTCACCAGCAGATGAGAGGCCCTGTGGCTGTCTGCACTGGAAGGGGCTCCGCAGGGGTCTGTCCTTCCCTGCTTGCCTCTGCATCTCCAGACCATTTGGAGGTTGGAGCTGAGAAGATGCTTTTGCAGACAATGCTAAAGTAAAAGGGATGGCAGGCTGGGATTCAGGCTGAATGCGGGCTCTTTGGCTGCCCACCAAGGTTTAGGGGTGTATACATAGATGTCCACATGTGAGCTAAGTCCTGAGCTTGCATGGTATCTACTGGGGATCCAGTCAACATGGTCAGTGAAGTCCAGAGAGTGACTCAGGTCCCCTAAAGCAAGCACCAGGGAAGGATCTGACTGCCAAAGCATAGGTGTCTAGTGCCACATTGGAGACGGCGGACACTGCTCGGTCTCCAGGTGCTATCTCAGGGAGTGAGGGACCCTGCACCTCCTGTGTGGCATCTGCCAGCCCTGGACAGCTGTATCCACTGTCCTAGGACATTTCAAATAGTAGCAAGTGCCCATGTGTGGGCAACGTATCTCACCTGCCAAACAGCTCTCCATGCCATTAGTTGTTGACCAAGTTGCTGTCTACACTCTACTGACCGTATCAACTGCAGTGGGAGCTGGGACACCTGGTGCATGTGTAGACACTTGAAATTAGGGGTCTAAATCTTGAAGTGAATCCCAACAGGAAAATCTAAATTCAAAATTACCTGATGACACTGGAGTAATAACAAGACATCAGGAAGATGATGTTCAGCCAGGAGAGGCTGTAGGGCATCCAGGGCTGGATCACAGTGCAGGAGGACTAGCTGACCGTCTTGGACTCAGGGCAGAGAGTTAGGCCCTTTTCTCCAACTATATCCTAGCCAGATATTTCTTCAATTAAAAATGGCATTTTACATTTCCCTGTCCTGCCCTTTTTCAGGGGTGCGTCTCCAGATTCAGGATGGGCTGGCTGGCGTATACTGTGTGATTGCTGATGGCTCTGTTCCACACTCAGCCACCCCGCATCCTTCTACCAGCAGATTGCTTGGGCTGCAAAGACTTGGAGGTTTTTCAACAAACAGAGAAATTCTCAACAACAGAGAATTGAATTCCATGTGATTCCATCACATGGAATCAAATGGAACATTTAATTCAACCTGAGATATTGGATTTCTGACTTTTTTCTTGACTTTTCTAAAAGTATGTCATAAATTGAAGCAAGATCTGATGTAGAATTTCATTTTGCTTTTTTCATCTAAAATGTTAGAAGAAAATGTGGACATTCATGGATAAAGGGAACAGGGCTTCAGCACTTTTTAAATGGAAACAATTAAGCAAAATTGATGCGTATTTATGAAATGTTTCAATATAACTTAAACCCTTGTCTTCCAACAGAAAAATATTTTGGCCAAAAATCTCCACCCAGCTTTTTTTGTGATCTACAACATCACCTGCAAAGAGTACGATATAACTGCTGAAGAAAAGCTTCGTAACCACCTGACAGAAGCCTCATATCTCCCTTTTCGCTTGCAAAGAGCTGCTCTCTAGTCACTACTGCAGCAGTAATAATAATTGCCCATATTGCCAAGAATTTGCATTTCTGATGATCCTAAAGCTTGGTATTTCAAATGAGAGACTTCAGAGAACTAATTAGCACATAGGCTCATTAAATGCTAAAGAATGTTCTTGCTGCCTAGGTAAATGGAACATCCAGGCCCTTAACCCATTTCCCAAAGGCAAACACATCTCTGCCTCCTTAGGCTTTGTTCAGAGTAATCCGAATCCTTGAAGTTGCGTACGCTCAGGGAATGCCAGTTTATACCATCTACCAGTTTTTGCATCAGTACTGGGAGGCCTGGGCACTGCCCCATGGCCATCACCGTCCAAGCCCGGCGCTGCAGCTGCGTGGGGCAGGACCCCCCGGCACAGCCCGGCCATGAGGGGTGAGGGGGTGGTGGGTTCAGTGGTGCATCCCTCCCCACTATAATGAGCGACCTGCCTCTGCTCCAGCACAGGGACGGTGTTGCCAAAAACGCCGTAGTGAGCCAAGCTCAGCCTGCAGCCAGTGTGTGTCTGCAGGGAGAGAGAAAAGTGATGGGAAATTATGGCAGCTCTGTGCTCACGTTCTCTTCTTACTCTTTCTCAGAACCTAAAGAAATGGCTGTGGCTCTGTGTGGAAGTTAATTAATGATAGTAAATAATATTCCTTTGTGCTAGGAGTGAATAGTGCCCTTTATTTGGGGATCTCAGTGTGCTTAATGCTCTGTATTTAATTCAGCTTCACAACAAAAGCTAGCTGAATTATTCATTGCAAATAAATTATCTGAAGAATACCGTCCTTTTTTTTGCTGTTTGCGAGCCCAGCTTGCTTTCTTTCATGTCCTTTTCCACAGCCAGCAGTGTCTCTGCAACGATTCGGGCAACCGACCCACAGCGCACAGCTCGTTGTGCTCTTTGCTAATTGTGAGAGTGTGTGTGCACGTGTCGGGGGTGGCGGGAGGAGGGCGGCAGCCTCCAGGTCTTGCTAATGGGATGAGCGAACCTTTCAACGGGAGAGAAAGCAATAAGCAATGCTAAGCATGTTCCTCATCTGTACACATAGATGAATACAGAAATATGCATATGTATATGTAGCTTTTCATACACACACTGGTGTTCACAGAGTGCCCAGACTCCAGTTAAGACCAATCGCGCATGGTAAGTCTACAAATAAGGGATTCAAATGACAGCCTTTTGGACTGATTTTGATATAAGGCTCAATGTAACCTACAAAACACATGCATTTCCTGATATTCAGGCAAATAAAAACCTCTCCCCCACACCCTCAACCAGTAAGAAACTCTATATTGAAAAGCAGAGAGATTTAATTACTCAAAATGAGCATGAACCCCATTGCTTCAGGAAAAGCAGCAGGCTGTATGTGACCTGGCCTCTTGAGGAGGACAAGGTCCTGCAGTACGTAGGTTCAGACATGTCCATGGCTGGATCCCAGGGCTTTTCGGATGCCCTGGACCTGGGGACACTTCGGTTGCGATGTCAGCCAGCCCTTCATCAGCATTTTGGCGTGGGTGGCAAGTTTGAAACAAAGCCCCAGGATGCCTTTTTCACACAGGCAGAGCTCAGCGGTGAGCTCACTGCCACCAGCAGGTCCGAGATGCCAAAAGCTGACATGGGCCAGAAAAGCTTTTTGCCGAATTCACCTTCACAGAAATGTACAGATGTCACCTGTGCAAGGAGGCAAAGGCCACCACAGCTGGCCCCCCTTTCCCATGTCCCCACTAGCTGCCCCTGTGGAGGGAGAATGGAGGCATTGCTGGCACCAGCTCCAGCCCTGAGGCTTCCTCCATGGACGGTCCTATCACTGACTGGGTTTGCGGGACAGCCCTGTCCTTATGTTCCCACCTCCGGAAAGAGTTACTGCTCTGGGCAATTTTATCAAAAGCATCAATTTTGTCAATATTTGATGTATTTCTTTGTGTGCATAAGCAGTGAACCACCCAGATGCGGTGGCCACGGGGGAGCCTTCCAAGGGCGGCTCCCCACGGGGGATGTTAGAGCGGGGCTGGACATGGAAATTCCCCGGCCAACGGCCAAAACTCTGGGCACATGGCAATATGTCGCTACATTTATAGTTTAAGTCTCATGGTAGATGAACGCATGATTGAAAATCATGAATTTTCAAAGCTTTTAACACAAAAAAAGTCTGTTGTTACTTGCTGGTTTTTGCTGTTGTTTTGTCTGTTTATTTCTTTTAAAGAATAAGGTCACCTTTGTAAGAAGGGCTTGTTTTTCTGTTTATAAAGATCCCTCTATGTAATTTTTTTTCCTTTGGAAATAGCTATGCTGACAGAAAAAGAAATCTTAGTTGTATGTTTTTGTCAGTTCCTTGTAATCAATAACACCCATATAAAAAAAGCTGGAATCAATCATCAGCAAGGGAACAGGCTGAATCCATAACATTTGGGCTGACCTATTTTGTAATCACATTTGCTGAGAGGAAAATAAATCAAAGTAATCCAGCCTACTGCCTCAAACCTGATGCGTTATCTTGGGTTCGTTGGGTGTTCGCCCGAACACCCTCCAAGTGCCGAGTGAGGAAAACACGCAGACACCTTGGCTGGGGTCCAGCGGGGGCGTGGTGCTCAGGAGATGGTGAGAGCCGTGTTTCTCCATCCTGGGAATGAGCCTCCTAAACATGCTTCATTCCTGAAGTCCCTTTGCCTTACACCCCTGTAGGATGTGAGATATTTTCATTTTCGTTTTGACTTGTAGATGGATGGAAATTAATCGTAAAATGGCCGTGCTTCTCCCCATGGACTCGCCTGCTGGAGCTGAACCCCGACCTGCTGGGTCTGGCACATGCAGCCACGTTGTGGAGTTGAGTTATTCCAGTGTCACCTGGGTAGGAGATCAACGGATGAGAGACTGGCAGAAACAAAACCAGCAGGGTGCTTGTCACAACAAAAGGCCTGTGAGCTCTTCCAGTGAAGGTGACAAGTGTGATATTGGAGCCACTTTGTCACTGGAAATACAAGAAGCATCAGGGGCTTTTGATTGCTTGCTATTGATTACTGACTTGCTATTCAGGCAGTTTACACCACTAGTAACTGATGACTCCAGGTGTGATGGACACTCTTTTCTACGAGGTAGATGATCCACATGCCATGAGACAGGTTCTCCCTCCAAGGGTTGGATCTAGTCCCTCCCATGGATTAGGCATAGTTTTTATTCATGATTTGGGGAGACTAATGCATCATTCCTCCTATAGGTAGTGCCTGCGTTCCCTCTGTAGGCATGGAGAGAAGAAAGCGGCCTTAAAGCTCCTTAGAGGGAGCCTGTGTCTGCTGAATTTAGATGTCTAAATATAGGTGGAGAGTATAGACCAGGGTAGGGTAGACCAGTTCCCCCTTACATCCTGTGTGGACTGTACATCTAAAGTACAGCCAGGAAACAGCCCCGGGGAAGGGGATCGAGCACCCAAGGTCCTGCAGCAGGGTCAGGCAGAGCTGTGGACACAGCCCACCTGTATGCCTGCTCCTGGTCTGATGCTCTGGCCTGGAGGAACTGCAGCTTGCAGTGAGATTATTTCCTTTTTTTTAGAAAATAATTCAGAAGAAGGTGCTTTTGAACTGTTTCTCTATTGCAAACAAGCAGCAAAAGGTCTCCTGGGATGCCTCAAGGATAGAGAATCAGACCAGTGTTCATTCTGGATGTGGATCCAGGCTTCAGGTGCCCCTGTCCTGCTCTGGAGGGCTGTCTTTTCCCTCTTCCTCCTCGGGAGGTATTTCACATCCCAGCTGGGCACCCAGACCTGAAGAGCAGAGAGGTGCTGTTCCCTGCGCTTGGGAGCTCAGCAGCCGATCCCACCTCCTCCCCTTCTCTGCAGTGCCCGTGCTGCTCCGGGACTCCTGCGGGCACCACAGCAACTTCCCCAGAGCCTGCCATCACCCTGCCCCATTGCATGGCCTCAGCATCTTCTCACCTCATGAATACACAGAGCATTTTTCTACCCTAATCCATGCCCTGACCACAGGCATCTTTCAGCCCTCCACGCACCCTGCTCGTCTCCCAGCACTGCTATACTTACCTGCTCAGTTCATTGTAATAAACCCCAATAAAATAAATTTATTTAAAAATAAATAGGCTTCAGGGCCTGATTCTGTGCCAGCTGCAGAAGAAAATCAGATCTGAGAGCATCCATCCCTTTATGAGATGAGAGCCAATGCATTCCTAACAGAAAGCTAAGTGAATTCATATGGGGACTGTATTAAAGCTATAAATACCTTGGAGTGATGGGCCTGGACTAACAACCCGTTTTACGATGGGACCTGCTCTGCACCCACATCATGTGGGTCTCCTGACCACGAGGCAGGACTGGGATTTTGTTCACAGAGACCCATTTGCAGAGTTGTGGCTTTTATGGCCTTTTTGAAGGTGAGAAAAGTGAAGAATTTACACAGTAAAAATTCTTGGCAAAGTTGGAGCCTCCAGTTTCTGTATAATAAACCAATTACTATGCTGTTCAATTTACACACCTCGGACAAGTATACTGTAAACTCATATCCCAAGGTAAAAAAATGCAAAAAATTCAGTCTTTGGCTTTGCCAAACATTTTATTGGACAAATTCTTCTTTTTTTTTTTTTTTTAAATCTAGACAGGACGCATAAGTACTGAATACTTTTTCTTAGTTCTTACACAATGAAAAAATATTTTCAAAGTCTCTAGTTTATAAAATAATAGATAGATCTCTGTAATAGAAATTAAAATTGTAAATGGAAATTTGATAGGGAGCAATTTTTCCAGCAATGTGGGAACATCTGGTATGGTTTCTAATTTATTTAGAAAATAGGCATGTGGGCTCCAGCCCAGTAAGGAATTTAAGCACATAAACAATCTTATTGGACTTCTCTGGGGCTATTTATGCATTTAAGCTAAGCCCAAGCCCAGGCACTCTGCTGAAGTTGACCTTCCAGACTCTTCACTCTATCTCTGCATGAAAAGTACGACATCATTGCTGCATTTTTGCAAGTATTTGGATATTTAGTAGAGGGATAGCAATGCCATGCAAGTATTCAGATGGGCCTGAGCAACGAAGAGCATCTTTCAATGCCAACCTGTCCTCACTGCTCTGATACATGGAGATCAAGTCCTGCGTGAAAAGGGGACTTTGGAGCAGGCACTTCCTTGCCTACCTGGTCACCTCAGGTTCCTCGAGTCAAAGGTGCTTGTGGACATGGGACGGTGGTGTCAGACATCCCTTTCCCAAGCAGATGTGCCAATGAAGCACCTGACCGCAGCCCTGCCTCCTTCCTACCACCCCCACCAATCCAGCCCCCCAGCTCTGCTAGGGGAATGGGTCATCTTGGTGCTTTCAGTGGTGTTTCAGATAAAACCCATTTGTTCAGGTAAAACATTTTAAGTAGGCTGCTTGCATTAACAAAGCTGCTATTGCCTGCTGTGAGATTGGGGGTCCACACGAGCTGCTCCCCATAGCAAATGGCGACTAACCCCTTGGTGGCCCCAGCTGGATGTGGGGGGGAATCATCTCTCTCCCGCCCTAAGTCCTCTCAATACAGTGATTTCTGATAGGAGTTTTTCCCCCTCAGAGAAATGTACTAGCTTAAAGTACGTGCTTCTCAGCACAAGTAGGTTTTATAAAAATAATTCACCTTTAAGGTTTCTAAGTAACGTTTGGCAAAAGTTTAATTGCTCTGCTAGGACACAGTGAAAGTTTGAAATCTACCTTGCAAGAGCTTTGTCTTGAAATATGTCAAAACCAGGTTTTAATAAGGGTGTTATTACCTTTTATCTAGAGATCAAATTAATGCATTAAATTACTTTTTTTTTACTAGAGAGAACTAGGCTGAAAAGAGTAGTGGTGTGATCTAGGTGCTTTAAACAGGTGTAAACCCTCAGGAAAAAAACAGTTTAGTTTTCTGTAATAGGCAGAGCCTGCAGAAGGCTTGGTACTTCAAGTAGATATAAGGCTGATCTGACAACTCAGTAGCTTTTCATTTGAGGCCTTCTCTGGAATTGTTATCACGAGTTGTCAGGAACATCTGAGGGCCATTTTGCTTGTTCCTTGTGTTGGGAGATTTCTGTTCAGCAGTCTGTTAGAGATAAACGATACCTATTAGAAATGCACAAGTTGTGTAAGCTCTGAATTTGACATTTGTGGGATGCTAGTCGGTATGCATTCAAAGCTGTGTAGTCTACCTTCCTCTTCATCTGCTCAGGTTTTACAGATACAGAATTAACTCTATCCCAGCTGAAACCAGGACAATTTTACACCACATCTTTTGTGCAAGCTGTTTGCTGACTATGTTGTAAGGTAGCTGCACACACACACACAGTGCTTGCACACACGTGAACAGCCCAGGTGGCAGGTACTATTCCTTTCTGGCTGATCACGATTAATGTCTGCTAGTCAAATACGTACCCACACATGGAAAATGGGTCTCTCCGGTGGCTGGCATTAGCTACTGTCCTTTTTTTTTTTTTTTTTTTCTGTCCTGCAGCTATTGATTGTTGTGAACTTTGCCAGTGGAAGCTGTCCACATCTTTTGATGATCTCCTATCAGCTAGAACAGACTTGAAAGTATTACATTTTTCTTAAGATCTCTACTTGACATCTCAGCATTTTGTAAATCATTCAGCCAATTCATGGACTCAAACCACATGCTCTTGAGGGTTTTGTGTGTGTGTAATTAACAGCTCTCAAGTATGCTGTATAGGTGGGATGCATACAGAGAAGTAAATTAGTAGGTGTCAGAACAATGTACTACTTTTTTTAGTATGTTTTGTACCCTGTAGGACAGCTCTGAAAAATTAAGTATACCAAGTGCTAGAGGTTGGTGAATCTGGTGAGCTTCAGGACATAGATAGACTCTTCTTGTCCCAGTCAGGTAGGTGCAAGACTGTTGCAGTTCTGGGTCGCCAAGTCCGGCCTGCAGCGAGGGTGAGCATGTATTCCCAGTAGGTACACATCAGCCACAGATGAACATAGAGAGAGCAGTACCTTTATCAGCACCTGCGCACGCGGTGCTTGCACACATGTGAACAGCATGGATGGCACATACTGTTCTTCTCTGTCTGATCAGGATTAATGTCCACTAGTGAAATATGTACTCACACATGGAAAATGGGTGTCTCTGGTAGCTGGTGTTAGCTACTCGGTCTGCCCCAGGGCTGGCCTCAGGCCCCGGTTTCCCCAGGTGCTGGCACTGGCACCCTCCAGCCTCTGAGGTTCGTGGTCCCGCTCCAGTTGCCGGCACTCGGCTCTCATGCTGCTGCCCACTAGTCTGGCTTGAAGGTTGCTGGTGGTCTCTTATGCGGGCTCAGAATAGAGGGTGTGCCCACAAAGAACATGGATAGAAAGAATGCAAGAGTAATTATTATTAATAGTAAATAATTATTTACATCATTATATAAGAATATTTAGTAAGTCTGCAGGGCCGGCTGTGGTGATGGGGTGCAGGCCCCGGCCAGACAAGTGTACTGACCAGCCACCTGTTACCCAGGACCAGCCCCTTTTACCCCTTTTCCCTCTATTTTCTCACACTGGTTCCTCTCCAGTCCACCTTGTTCCCTCCCTTTCCCTACCTTTGATCCTTCCCCTAAACATCCCATAATAAGTCTTGCACATTCCCACAAACCCCTTAATATACCTTATGAGAAGTTGTACAGCGTCTCCAAATGCTTTTCCACTGCAGCCCTCCCGTGAGCCCCACATCCCTGCAGGCACTCACTGCCGTCAGCCCGGGGAGGGGGTGGCCCCACTGGCTCCTTGGTGGGGTTCACCCAGGGACCATGGGCTGACCCCTCTCCTCTGACAGTCCCAGGAAGCAGCTGAGTCAAGGTGCTTTAACTCAATGTGCAGGGATGACGTTGGTGGGGCTCCTTCCCTGGTGTTGTTCTACTGATTCTTGTGGGGTCTTTGTGTTCGCAGTGATTAATCTTTAATCCCATAACCTAATGCTAAGTATATGCAAAAAGATCTCGATGCTAGAACTGTAGAGTCAAAATGGAAAAGTGGAGGGCGGGAGAAGTGTGTTTGTTATCTGGAGCTATTTCCTGAAGCGTTTGTTTACCAGGCCTTTTCCCTGCAGAACATTTACCTGCTTTTGTGATGTCTGATCTCATACAGCAGCTGGAATACACTTAATCCTCATTGCTTCAAGAGATCTGAAAATACAGATGGACAGCTTAGCTCTAGTAAGGTTGTAGGGAAGCTGCCGGCAGTGTTTGCATGTGGTCCTTCCAGATGAAGGAGTCCGCCTTTATGGATGGGACCGTAAGGGTTAAATTGTTAGAAGTGCAAGTGAGCTTCTCTTTTTCAGGAAGATAAGGGCTGTGTACTTTGCAGCATAGTAATGTTTTTTTCTGAAGCCGGAATGATTAAAAAAGAAGGGAGGTAAGAGCTCAAGAGTTCCATTTCATGGGATAAGACTATCATTACTCCATTTGCAGTAGCCTTCAAAAACAAACTGCTCCTCTGTGGATATTCCCAGGAAAATGAATTTATGCTTAGCATGCGTGAATCATAAACACAGTGCTTGTTGCAGCCACATAGAAATATGAAATAATTGGCTAGTTATGTGTTTTGCCACTGGGACAGTTTTGGAGAAAAAGGCTACAGAAGTTCTGATTTTTGGACATACTGTATGTATGTGAAATGCTTAGCATGAGGTTTAATTGCACGTTATGTCTGGGGCTTGTGGCACGCTGCAGAGTAGAAAATTTAAACCATGCTTGCATACATATTTTTAAAATGTGTTTTTTTTTTTTAAATTTTAATTTTTTTTTCTGATGAATACTACATCCACTTTTGGACCCCCTAATGAGAAAAAGATATCAGTAAAGTAGATCCAGTTCAGTGGAGGGCCATTGAAATGGTGGGGGCTGGAGCACTTGCCCTGTGAGGAGGGACTGGGGGAGATGGGCTTGTCAGTCTATATAGCAGAGATGGCTTTGGGGTTGGGACAGGGACCTTACAGAAGCTCCCGGTGCCCCTGGGGAGATCATTGAGGAGCTGGTGCAGGGTGGAAGAATGAGAGACAACAGATGTAAGTTGACGGAAGAGAGGCTCAGCCTGGAATGCTTTTTCCCCATGGGGACAGTCAGGCAGAGGCGCAGGTTGCCCAGAGAGGCTGTGCAGGCTCTGTCCTGGAACGATTTCAAGACTGGACTGGATGAAGCCCTGAGCAGCCTGATCTGACCTCAGAGCTGACCTGCTGTGAGCAGGAGGTTGGAGCAGAGGCCTCCTGAGGTTCCTTTCAGCCTGAATTGTTCTGTGATTTTGTGATGATCGGAGCTTTAAGTTGCGCTATTAGCCTGCATGATTAAAGTATATCTTATTACTTACTAAACAGTTTATGGTAGAGGAGTGGTTTGGCTTAAGTGAAACTAGCTAACTTGGATCAGGTCATACTGAACTACTACATGTTTATGTTAACAGCAACTTAATGCTATTTATTTTCTCTGTTACGCTGAGATTGTAAGCACTAATTAAACTTATTTTGTTTCAGATAAATGCAAGTGAAATTCAAAGATTTTCAGATTTTCCATTGTCAAAGAAAACCCTAAAAGGTGAGTACAGAAGTTTTCTTTGGAAAATAATTTAAGTGAAAATGAATGTATTATTTATCTGCATCTGAACATTTTTTTGCTTTAAGTTTTAGATAAGTATTACCATGTATGGTGTTTTCTAAATGGAGGAATACAGCTCTGGGCAAGACAAAAATAAAGATTATTTTTTTT